TACCTTATATTTACATTACAATTTATAATAGTAGCAAACTTACAGTTATGAAGTAGCAACAAAAATAATTTAATTTGGGAGATAACCCCAACATGAGAAACTGTATTTAACTGCTGCAGCATTGAGAACTGCTGTTTTAGAAGGACCTGGCCTGAACACATCTGGTCTGAAATATTGAGATGCTTTATGTTAACAGAAAAGTTTTATCTTGAAATGGACAAGAAGCCATTTTGAAGCACAGGAAAGGCTTAAGGAGTTCTACCATGAAGAAATAAAGTGGTGGAATTTGTTTGAATGACAGATGCATAAGAAGAGTGAGAAACTAGAGAGGGATTAAGAGACTATAATTAGCCCATGAAAAAAATCAAAATTGTGTATTTGTACTTATTCATGTATAGAATAAATTTCATATAAGAAACTGTCTCACATGATTGGGAGGTGGTAAGTCTCATGATCTAGCCCAGGGTGCTCATGGTCTATTTCCAGTCCCAAGCCTATGCCTGAGATCCAGAAGTTTCAGTAGTATCAGTTATACTTTAGAAGCCAACAGCTCCAAGATCCATGGACAAATGTTGCTACCATTCAAATGTGAAGACAGGAAACTGGAAACCACCTAGATGCCCCTCAACTGAAGAATGGATAAAGACAATGTGGTACAAAAAACAATGGAGAATTACTCAGCTGTTAAAATAAATAACATCATGAAATGTGCAGGCAAATATGGATGGAACTAGAAAAGATCATCCTGAATGAGATAACCCAGACCCCAAAAGATAAACATGTTAAGTACTCACATATAAGCAGCAATTAGCTATTAAGTAAAGGATAATCATGCTACAATTCATAGCCCAGGAATAAGTAACAAGAAGGGTTTGTGCGGTGGGTGACACATGGATCTCCTTGGGAAGGAGAAATAGAATAGATTTTGCAGGAGGACTGAAAGTAGGTGGGGATGGGAACAGGCAGGCTCAGGCAAGGAAGGGAGGGACAGAAGGAAAGAGTTCTGGGAGAGATACTGGAATTGGGGTGGATTTTGGAGTGGTGTAGAAACCCAGTACAATGGAAACTCCCCAGAATCTAAGAAAGTAACCCTAGCAAAGTTTCCCAGTAATGAGGGATACAGTGCCCAAACCGGCCATTTTCTATACTCACACAAAGCTCCTAATAATGGTCATGATTTTTTAATATAGCAATACTAACTCTAACCAGGACACTTAGAATTCTGTATCTTTTCAAACAGGTATTTGGAAACCATAGTAATAATGCTGTTTAATTAGAAAAACAATCAATTTAGGAAATAATCATACATTAAAGGCTTAATTTTAAAAATCAGTCACCTTTGGTTACAAATTTCTTCATTTGTGTAAATAGCATATCTGTACTAGATTTTGCTATATGTACAATTCAAAAATACCATCATTACTTAGTTAATTTTTTATATGTAATGCTCTTTATATATGAGTATTTATTATAGTAACATAACAAAATTTAGTATGGTCACTATAATTTGAAAAATCTACTAGTGGGAAAGTTGATATCAGCTACCCACTCAATACCTAATTTAAAATGTATGGGAACTGGGACCTGTTAGATGGCTTATTTGGTAAAGGTACCCACCTACCAGCAAAACTGATTTGATCATCTGATTCTGTGTGATTACCTATGACCTCCACAGGCATGCCATGGTACATGTACCCACACACACATACCCTCCATACACATAAGCATACCATAGTATAAGTATACACACAGAGACAGACACACACACACATACTCACACACTAAATCTTGTTATAGCACAACTCCACACAAAGCATGCTTTTACACATGTGCTTCCACAATCATGCCACGCACACCCATAAACAAACTATAGCATAAGCATCCAAACATACACACACACACACACACCACGGTACACAACTGCACACATACACATACAAGCATGCCATGGTACATGCATGAGCATGAGTGTGCACATGCACAGTCATATAAAAATTTTAGAAAATTAAGTTCTTAAAAAATTCTATGGAATAAATGCATAAAATATATTTAATTACGAAAGTTAAAATTTAATGCGAAATTTCACAACTTCGTTTCCAAATTCTAATTCCAACTGCATATAAGTTCATTTAATTCTATGGACTTTGGATCTGATTAATTTTGATGTGTTTTGTCTTTACGTATTTGCAAGTTTTTAAATAATAAAGTTTATTTTACAGTGTATGAAAACTGCTAGGCTCCTTAGATGCTTTCAAACACTACTTGTTCGTCAGTGCTCACTGAGGTTCATCTCCTTCCCTCTATGTAACCTATCCTGGTTCATAGTGCATCCAACCCTGTTGATTCAAAATTCCTCTGTAACATAGTCTACCAAAATGTTCCCTATTTACTAATTATTTTGAGTTTTTATTTAATTACTGAGGTGAAAACAAACAGGAATCTGCTTGAGGTCAGGTCTTTTCTCTCTGTGGATCAGGAACTAGCAACCACAGCAATTAATCCTTTGTGTTCCATAGCCTGATATGTTCTGAACTCTGTGTAGCAGGAACAGAAGAAAAAAATAGCGTTCTGTACAAATTATTGTCAGGCAATAAAAAAATGGAGCTAAAATTAAACAAATCAAAAATCATAATTTCATATAAAAGAAATAAATTCTCTCTACATCTTTCATTTTATTAATTATCATATATGGCAAAATTTAAAGAGAATTCATGTCTTTTAACTTACAAATAAACTGAAATACAAAGTGTAGTGTATGTATGTAGAAATTTTAAAATGATAAGATATGTAAAACTAATTTCATTGTACAAAAGCTAAAATCATTTTCCTATATAAAAAGTAATACTATCATACAAATTACTTTTCTTTTTAAAGACAATTTTAGTAAGTTAATGGACAACTAATGTACATGGCTTTTATTCATTTTCTTTATAGTTTTTTATAAGACATTTCTGGTTGTATATTACATTTCTGATTGTATATTTTCATATATGTTTATTTCTAAATTCAACAAACACATTCCTTTCTTATTTCAGTGACAATGGAACAGTATACATTGTGTTTCATATTGCATTTTTTTTCAACATTTTAGCATAGAGTTTAAGTATGAGAGTGAGGAGGACTCCTGGTTCCCCAACTGTTTGAAGCTCCTGACACTTCCCAGCTGCACCTAGACTGGCATTTTGCTTCTACAGATTAATAACCTAGGGGCATTTCAGATCTCACTCAAGTTTAAGGAGGCAATTATATTCTACTCATGGTGATATTCATAGTTTTAACTTAAATTTTAAAAGGGTGACTTATTCATTTTTAATTCTTTGAAAAAATATTGTAGGATCTTCTTCCTGATTGAAAAAGTTACTTGTTCATACTTTTCTATTGGTACAATTTATGAAAACAAATAGGATACAGGTACGTAGAGAAATTTAAACACAAATATTTAAGTAGTATTAAGTAACCTACTCTATTCTCACTAGTCTTTATTAGTTATTAATCATGGATTAATCCAATCTTGCCATCATACCAAAGTTTAATAACATAAATAAATAAACAAACAAATAAAAAAATAAAACTCAAGTGCATTGGAGAAACCTCATTTATCTTTTCAATTCTCCCTGCTTTTTTCCCCTCTTCTTACCTACAAGAATTATAGAAAAATTCATATCACAGTGTGGTGCCGTGATATGTATAAAAACCCTTGACAGGCATTTCCCCTCAGCAGTCTTCCTGCTGGCCAGCTTCTAAGTCTCTTTGACCCCCTTCTCCTCAGGTAGCTGCTTGCTAGATGTTTACTGATTAATTTGCATCAAACGTTCTCCTAGCAACCAACACTAGGATGGATTAGGTATTTTTGTAAAAGACTGTTTTCTGTAAAAACTGCTTATACTTTCTAAACACCATAAACACAATTTAAGCAAAGCTATATGATATGACTTCCTCACAAGTTTAAAAGAGAGTTTAGTCAATTGCCTTTTTCTTCTTGTTGGTTTTACATGGAGAAAACCCATCTCTTTTTTTCTATTTAAAAATTTGCATTTGGGGACAGCTATCTATTTGATGACAATACGGGAATATATTTTACAAATTGTAAATAAATCCAGAGTGGATCCATGTTCTCAATAGTCTTGGTGCAAAGCAGGAAATAAATACATCTGGGTTCTAATGGTCAGTTCAATCATAAACAGAAGGCAGGAAACTTCCCCAGAAAACATGTTATTAATTTTCATTTCCTGAACAAAATAATTCAAAACCCAAGTTTCAGTGAAGATTTACTTTACTGAAAAGTTTATATTTTCTCTGGATTTCTCAAAAAAAATATTACTTTGTTACAAATTGTGCTGTAAACCTCAGTAACAATGTATAGTATGAAAAAAATAAGTGCTGGGCAGAGCAAAGCAGAGGGAAAATATATAAATAAGTATCTCTACTGATCACACAAACTGTCCGGCAGTAAATGGTCACTGTCTTCGCAGGCCCTTGAACAAGATGAAGGAATATATTGTATTATGCCCCATTAAGATTTTAATCTTGCAGGGAACAATAATAGCAGGCAAGAAAGTTAAGATATTTTAGTAAAATCAATAACAGTTATTAAGTTTTCAAGTTATTAAGTTTAAAAGTGATAATGTTGAGGCAGCAAACCATTTTACAATTTCAAAAATAATCTCAGATTCAAAAATAAAAACCTATAGTTTAATCATTTGGTGAAGTTAATAGATTTTCCCCCAAACGAAAAGATAAAGCAGAAGCTTTTTCAAATAAAAATTCATTAGCAATTCCACTACGCTGCTTCTCATACCTTGAATCCAAGAAGACTTTGATAAGTCCCCTTTTCCACTACAGTTGACTGTTTTCTACGGGACGGTTCTAAATCTCATATGTGCTTTAAGCAGTCTTAAATTTAGATATTACTACTTAAAGTTTCAAGAAGCTTAACTTGTTTCAAGAAACAAGAAGTTTCATTGAAGCTTGACAATGTATTGGAAATCTAAATCTCTTACCATATTGATAGATGACAGTGATCTGGCCATGGTGGTGTATGTAGGCTTGTAATCTCAGCCACTCAGGATGCTGAAGCAGGAGGATCACCACCGAGACTCTGACTGAAAATAAAAAGTAGAAAGTGGGCCAGGGATGTAGCTCAGTGGTAGAGTACCTGCTTATCATGTACAAATCCATAGTTAGATCTAATTTCCAGTAATGTAAAAATAAAAATAACAAAGATAGACAATGGCAAAGCAAACAATCTTCATTTGGTAGAGACCTGGAGACCAATATTTACTTAAAATCTGCTCAATGCTACGAGTCTTACAAACTTTTTAATAGAACAGGTTCAAAAATCCTTCCCACAATTAAGATAGGAATTATCATTTTTATGACTGACATACAGAAATGTTACATTTCTTTCCAAAGGTAAAAGAATAAGGCAAACCCCAAATTGAATTTTATGGCTGAAGAGCCATAAATTAGATGCTTTGGAAAAACATGTCAAAACATCTACTCTAATCATTCTCCATCCTCCTGTACTCAACCCTTTCAAAAGGCCCAGGCTTTACTAACCATTCACTCAGACTCATGATAACCTTTAAAATTGCTATTTTTACTTTTTAAAAGATTTACTTTTATTTTGTAAGTATGAATGTTTTGTCTGCATGTATGTAAGTTCACTTCCCTCATGTCTACTGCTCACAGGCAGTGCTGTGTACCTTGAACTGAAGTACCAATGGTTATAAGAAACCATAGGGCACTGGGAACCAAACCCAGGTCTGCTTCAAGAGCACCATGTGCTCTTAACTGCTGAGCTATCTCTCCAGCACCAGAAATCACTGCATTCTATTTTCTGATGGATTACCAAAATGCTGACCATTTCAGACTCAGATTACAAAAGATTAAAGAAATCAAAATTGAAATATGAGACAATAATAACAAACTGCAAATGCTTAATTTAGGTAGGGAATAATAAGATATAATTTGAGTATAGAAAGTGATATTGTGTGTGTGTTTGTAGATATTAAAGAGATTCTTCTTCTCTCGCTCTTCCTTTCTCCCATCCACATCATTTCCCTCTCTTCTCCCACCTCTCCTTCCCTCTCTACCCTCCCTTCTTCCCTCTCTTCTCATCTGATTGTGTTGACTTGGCTGGCCTTGAAATCAAAGTGCCAAGCCTGTCTTTGTCTCCTAAGCTCTTGGAATTAAAGGCTAGCACCACCTTGCCATGTACCCAACTTTCCCTTGTCTTTATGTTCCTACTTACCTAATCTCATGCTTACAAATTTCTGTGTATGATATACTTTTTGCTAATGAGATTTGATGGATGGATGTCACTACCCTGTCCATGAACCTATCCAGATCAATCCTTTGTGTTAAGACACTGACTCTTGTTTAAACCATGGATATATTTATGTATAATAAGTGAGAAAACATGGAAAGGGAGAAATCTGATGTTACTAGATTTTTCTCTCTCTAAGGTAGTATCTTAGATTGTGATAGTAGCATATTTGGTTAGCAGAGTTTGGGAAATTTTGCTGGCATAAACATATATTCAGTAATGTCAGCTACAGTTTGAAAAAGAACATCTTTAAGAAATATAAGCTTGATGGACCTAAGAAGCAAGCTAGTGTACTATCCTAATATCTGACAATATAGACTTCCAACCAAAATTAATCAAAAGAGTTGGAAAAGTGCATTCCATATTCATCAAAGGAAAAATCCACCAGGATGAGGTATCATCCAGCAACTGGTGAAGGCAGATGCAGAGACCCACAGCCAAACACTAGCTGGAGTTGAGGAATCCTGCAGAGGAGGAGAAAGGAGTGCAGGAGCCAGAGGGGCCAAGGACACCACACCAAGGCTTACACAATCAACTACACTGAGCTCACAGGGGTTCACAGAGAATGAACAGACAACCAGGGAGCCTACATGGGACTAGCCTAGGCACTGCATATATGTTACAGTTGCCAGTTGCATAGTTTGGTCCTCTTTGGGGACTCCTAACAGTGGAAACAAGGGCTGTCCCTGACTCCTTTACTAGCTTTTGGAACCTTACTCTTCATACTGGGTCACCTTGCCCAGCCTTAATACATGGGGAGGTGCTTAGTTTTACTGCAACTTGATATGTCATGTTTTTTGTTTTCTGGGTTTTGTTTTGTTTTGTTTTGTTGTTGTTGTTGTTTGTTTGTTTTGATACTCAAGGGAGACATACTCTTTCCTGGATGGAGACTGAAGAGGAGGAGATTGGGGGGTGGGGGCAGGGGCAATGTGGGGGAGGAACTGGGAAGGGAGGATGGGGAGAAGCTGCGGCTGGGAAGTAAAATAGATCACTGAAAATAAATACAAATTAAAAAAGAAAGTCATGCAAAAGAAAACAAAATATAAGTTGATGCCTACTTTTAAAACATTGTGAGAAAATAACAGATGAAACACCTATGAAAAGACGAAATCCTGATTTTTAACATTAGTATATATGCTATTTGCATTAAAAAAGGCAAAATTGGGAGCAAAATCTTTATGGTCCTCTATATGATACTCTTTCTCAAGGTATGACTGGCCAGGTTTTGGAGGTGCATGCCTATAATTCCAGCACTTGGGAGGCAAAGGCAGGTGGATCTCTGAGTTCCAGGCCAGCCTGGGCTACAGAGCGAGTTCCAGGACAGCTAGAGCTGTTACACATAGAAACCCTGTCTCAAAAAAGAAGCAGAAGGAGAAGAAAGAAAAGAAAATAGAAGAAAGGCAAAGATATAAAATATATAAATGAAATGACATCTAGGAGGTCATCGTAACATAGTAAGAGGAGTGAGCCAAGCTAGGTTGCAGAAAAGTACAACACAATACCAATAGCTGGTAAATACAGCCAAGCTGGAGAAAACAAAGCCAGAACCTTGACCTTGGCTGGTTTTTAACATGCAAAAGAGAAAACTAAAGCTCTGTGGTAAGCGCAAATAGTGCGGAAGCAGTCAGTTAGAAAAATAACTCTCTTCAAAGCAAGCATCTGTGACTGTCCTCAACCCATGAGCACAATTGTTCAATGATTCTATCAGAAATTCTGTAACTGTTTGACTAGATCTATTTGGAAACACATTAAAATATTTACATCAATTTCTCCTTTTAATCCCTCATTTTTCATAGTTTTATATAAATATATCAGGATTCTTATGGGAAAAAGGTGTTTTGTTGGTGTTTTGTATACCTTTACCTTAATTCTTTATTTTTCCTAAAATTGTGTAAAATTATCATGGGGAAAAGGTAGGAACTGTATCCAAAATGTTAAACTTTAAGGACTTTTTATTCATTGTTTTAAAAAAGTAAGAAGAAAACTTTTGCCTTTGTCCCTATTGTACCTTCCATCTCTCTAAATTTTTTTCTCTTTCAAATCACTGTTAAGCCTTCGGTAGCCACTGAATCCATGAGACACTGGGTAGGGCAGGGCATCTTTTTCTGACTGTCCCTGAAAGGACTGACTGATCCAAAGAAGCTTCCTGCTTCTGAAAGCATGCTGGCCAAGCAAACTAGATGGTGGGCCAACATTAAAGCTGGGCGGCCAAGACCTTTCCAAATGTTCCAAGTGAAGAAGCACTTTCACATTTCCTTAAGAGAACATGAATGCCTTGGCAAGCCCACCAGCTCCTGTGTCTGTCAACTATATGGAATTAATATTGCTTTCTCTATCTCAACAGCTGTCTAGACAGAAGAAAGTAACACATACAGGAGGCCAGTAAATTAGAGGTGTGGTTTAGAAAACTCCAAATATATGCACAATTTAGAAAACTGAAGACAGGTTTTTCTATAGAAGTAGTGAAGATGTATGGCAAAAACTCAATAAGAATTAAAAGTGAGATCACTCAAAAAGATTATTATTAAACATATACATATACACACATGCATACACACATACATACACACATCTTAGTACAATTTTTCAATAAGAAGAGAATGGGTATTAGTACGTGATAAAATGGTGAATAATGTACTTAACAACATAGCTTCATATAGGAAAGAATCATTTAACATAAGGCCATATGAATAGCAAACCCCAAAAAGATGACATTAAATATTAGTAAAACAAGAGAAAGAGGGCAAACATGAAGCTAGAAAGCAGGTTAGCAGTCTTTATTAAAAATTAAATGTGAATATCATGTCATTAACCAACCTTACTTCTGAATGTATCAGAACAATGGGACACAGCTGTCCAGTGTGTGTGTTAGCAACCCATGGTGGGGTATCATTCATATTGGGAAGGAAGAATGCATGCTATGAACTTCCCTAAGGATTGCAGATATCTTAAGTTCAAATAAATGCTGTAACATTTATAACCAAGTAAAAGAATGAACAGAAGGGAAATCTTTAAAAATCACGTAACTCGTGTAATTATTAAGATAAAAGACCATGAAATTTCTAAATGAAAGGATGAAATATTAGAAATACTTTACAGATATACTCTGTCTTCAGTGAAAGTTGTCTATGATGTTTGTGAATCCCTAAAAATGTATAGAGCTTAAAAACAACCAGATATGCATGAATTTGTTGTTTTCTTATATTGTTTCTTTAATAATTCTGTCTTGATCATCAGTGAGAATTTTTCCCTGACCTCTCATAATTCAATATTCTGTATCCAGAAAAAAAAAATGGCTGTTTCCATCTGTTCTGTTTAGAGTGAGCAATACTTGGTTAAGTTCATGAATAATAATGAATATGCATGTCCCGGTAGGTGCTTCACCAAATTTTGGTTTATAAATTTGTCCAGGATCATAGCCTTGACAGAAGGGTCTGTGCATATTTATTTTATTTTACAAGTGATGTGGGAATGCTGATTTGTCCCTCTCTGTGTTTAGTCCATATTCTTGCTTTATAAAGGAAGCATTCTGCCACAGCAGAATAGGGTTGTGTTTAAAAAAATTCTCCCTTTAGGTCTAAACATGAGGTAACTCCAAGTAGTGAGCGTGGCAGAGTTTACAGAACTGGTTTTTCATCGAGGACTTAGTTGAATCAGCTTTTTAGATGCCTTTCAGATTTTTAACAGAAGCAAAGAAAAAGCATTCTTCCAGCACCAGGAAAGCAGTTTACCACAGATAATTGTCTCATTTCATTTGCATTCTAATGCCTACCAAACTAAAAAAAAAAAAAAAAAAATCACAATTCTCAGGAGGTGAACTCTATGGAAGATTTCCTATCAAGAAACAGTGACAAGAGACAAGAGAGATAGAAAAGACAAAGGGCAGGTCTGGGAGGAAGGCTCACCGGTAGGCTGCAAACTCCCAAGTTCAAGTTAGAAAATTGTTTCTGTTTAAGTCCCAACTCCTCTTCAGGCAGCAAAAAGAAAAAAAAAAGAGTTAGAAAAATTCCAGACAGGCTAAGAAATCAGCCGACAAACCTCATTATTGATGGCGTCAGGTGGTAGATCAATGCCGGAGGAAAATCAATGGTAAAAATATTTTTAGTAGTGCATACAGATGAATGGCCTCAGCAGTAATTCTTCATGGAAACCACAAAGGTCTGCAGCCACCCTGAGAGCCACTGTTTCCTAGGAGGCAAGAACTTACCTAGGTTTTCCAGATACCAATTATCCCTGTGCTTTTTCTTTTTTGTAGAATCTGTAACTATTTGCTGCAAAAAACCAATGTAAGGCAAGGTGGTGGGAAAGAAGTTAGAGAGAAAGGAAAACAAGGAAGGGAGGAAACAAGGCAGACTTAAACATTCCACTGACATTGAAATGCATTTTTTTTTTTGTATAAAACATTTAAAGGATATCTGTTATCCATGTGCACCCATTTAATAAATTTAAAGACTGAAAGAAGATGTTGGAAAGCACAGATAAAATAAAAACAAGTCAATTTCTAATTCAAAGAGAGAATGTGAAAGGATTGAAATTGCATCAAAAGCTGAAGTTCTAGAAGGAAAATGAAGTATAAAGATGTTTGTTTAGAATACATTAAGGATAGTGGCATGATTTCATAGAACCAATCTGGCTTAGCAACTCCTGAATAATCAACCAATCAGATTGAAATACTTTCCTGTCCCAGCTGAATACTCAGAACAAGTATCTAGGAATAAAACAAAGGAACAAAAGCCCCAAAGCTTATTCCTGGGTGAAGTTCAGAGCTTGAGGAAGAGCATCACCACCAGTCTTGGGTTTTACTCCCTTTGAAGAGAAAGTGGTGACTTGAGTTGTGATGAGAGCCGCAGAACTGAGGTCTGTCCTTTCAGGACAGACAAAGCTGTTCAGTAGTAAACAGGGGCAGACTATGACCTGCAACTGTTGCCTCCTTGTCAGGATAAAAACTATACATTCAGTGGACCTAGGTGATGAAGTGGAGAACTGACATTTACTCCGAGACATCATTTGCCTTGATAGAACAGAAGTTTCTCCAGGAGTACCTCCATTTGCAAATCTCCTAACTGCCACTTTGTGTGTTGTATTGGAGCCTGTTTTCATGCATTGAATTGCAGTAAAACAGTAAAAGTTGATCTTCAGGTTGTGAAGGTCAGCCAGGTTCTTCAATGGACAAAGTTAGGAGAATTGGACTAGAGATGGCTAGTGCTGAAAGCATATCAAAGTGAGCCTGAGCTGGGATAGTAAGGTGTAGGAAACAGGTATAAGGACAGAGAGAGCCTTATTCTTCCTCCAGTACTCACATTCAAGTGACCTCATGCAGACACTCGAGGTACTATTCATTATAGTCTTCCCAGATCATGTCTCCTCATCTCTCCTTTTGGATCCACCATGCAGCCTGAAGTAATTTCTAGCAACATTATAACCAATCACTCCAATATAGTTTGCACCTCACACAATGTGTCTAGTCTCTCAATGTTCCCAATGATGCTTTTTAAAGCAAGAAACCAGATCATGCCATTCTCTGTTTTAATTAAAAGCAAATTCTACAAATGTCTCCTAAGGCCCTCCTTTCCTCCACACCATTCCTCTGTCTTACACTTACTGTCCTCACTAGACATCCACATGAAAGTCTTGACCCTTCAAGTAATTCACACATGATTTTCAACCAATAGTCTCTTAAGCCATCATAGCCTAAATTTCATCACACTCTTCAGCATTTCTTGTACCTATTTCTTGATTCTTATTTTTAGATTAACATGTAAACATTTATTTTCATCTATACTTGTGTAGGAGGTTGGGAGGTTATTGGTATTGGTTCACTTTTTGTTTTCATATTGTCTGCCACCTCACACTTGGATGGAAATTCTATGAGGCTGTGGTATTGTACCTTGCTTAACGTTGTTTTCCCAGGGCCTTCAAGCATCCACAGGGCACTGTCATTTAACACTGCATTGTTTTTATATATTTGTAAATCTTTTTCTCCTTTATTCCTTTGTTCCTTCATTCCTTCTTCCCCCTAGTACTGGAATGACCCTAATATCCAGAATCTCATATGTTAGACAAGTTTATCCTAAGCATAAACTTCATTTGCAAGATATTAAAAATTCATTTACAAAGCATTAAAATTCTTCATAATGTGTCTTTGACTGATACTTCCACACTTATTGTTTTCCTTTCTTCTCTGGTGTTCTTCAATATAGATAATCTGTCTATTCTTTATTTCTTTAAAACACCAAATATTTTCATGTCTCAATCTCTTGTTCTGCTATCTCCTATCGTGGTTTTCACTTTGCATCTCATCATCACTCTTTCCATGCAAATTCCTGAACCTCCCTACTATCTAAACTTTAGTGTTTTTCCCTCTGTGGGATGATTTCAGACTCTATAGGCACAATTAATTAATACTCACTCAATTTCCCTAAGGAGATTATACATCTCTTTTTAATATATATATATATTAAATAATCAATTTGTATCAATACTGTTTATATACTTTGCTCAGAATATAGTGTCTAATGCATAATAAATATTTGTTAAATAATAGTATCTTTCTATTTTAAGAACAATATATAATAATTTATCAGTGATTTCTTACCAGCTGAACTATGATAACACTTGTTTTGTTAATGATAATTAACACAGAGTATCCTGCACATATTGTACATTGTTCCAAACACCTTAGAAATATATTTTCATAGAACTACTCCAAGGGTTTTCTCTGTAAGTATCAAGCATCTGGTCTGATATTAGAGATGAGGAAGCAGCCATGCACAAAGGTATGCTTTTGGAAAAGGTACTCTTGACCACAGTTATAAAAGTCTCCCAGATGACTGATTTCTTCAAAAAGCACAGGCAAAGTAGAAAGCTGTCCAAACACATAACATCCTTTTCTTTCTAAAATTATAGTTGAATTTACCTTTATATTATATATAAATCCCATTAGATTAAAGGATACTAAATATAGCTCATTAGAATATTTGAATGACCACATATGACTATAAGTTTGCAAATACTGACAGACTTCACCAGTAAAAAACAATGAATAGTCAAAGAACAGAAGAGTTATCATATGAACATGAAACCTTCACAGAAGGGAGGTGTCTACATCCTGCACAAAAAGAAAGAAATTGTAGTAGAATACCCGTCTAAGCCTCATACCCTTTGCTAGCTCCACCACTTCACTGAGAGCAAATAATCTTTAGAGATGAAGGCTTAAAAACAGATGTTAACAGGAGCAGGTGAATCCAGGTGGTATTGTGTATGGACTAATCCCCTAAGAAAGTTTTTAAATGGGCCACACTTTATCTCTAGAAAAAGAAATAAAGACTGCTAGGAGAAGGAGAATTAATCCTTCCAATTTACTAGTCCCCTCATTGACTGTCTAAGCCAGAGTGGTCTGCCTTGAAACCATATACACACCACCAACAAAAATGGACTCAGCAAGTTATATATATATATATATATATATATATATATATATATATATATATATATATATTTGTGTGTGTGTGTGTGTGTGCATACACATAATACATACCTACACATGAATATGTATATAACACTGATAATCAAATAAAAAGAGATTACCAGTTTGACGGTTGGGAGGATATGGGAGACATTTGAGGGAGAGTTTTCTGTGAGGAACTGGAGAGAGGAAACGGTCCCTTGGAAGCAATGTAATTCTGTTTCAATTAAAACATACTACAAAAATAAATTTATTGAATCAATATGAAAATCAAGAAATATATAATACTATATGAAACTAAAAAAGAAAGTTGTGAGGTAAAAGGAAAATAACATTATATTTTTTTGAGTAATTAAAATATAATTTGAGATTTTATGAAGTTTTGAAGGACAGAAAACTACTTCTTAAAAACTAACTGGGAATTTTGGCTTACAGTTTGGTAGGTGTCTTAGTTAAGGTTTCTAGTGCTGTGAAGAGACACCATGACCACGGCAACTCTTGTAAGGAAAACATTTAATTGATGTGGCTAGCTTGCAGTTCAGGGGTTCAGTCCATTATCATCATGGTTGGGAACATGGTGGTGTGCAGCCAGACATGGTGCTGGCTATATCTTGATCAGAAGGCAACAGGACATGGTCTCAGTGTCACACTAAATGAAGCTTGAGCAAAAGAGACCACAAAGCCCACCCCCACAGTGACACACTTCCTCTAACAAGACCACACCTCTTCCAACAAGGCCACACCTCCTTCAACAAGGCCACACCTAATAGCGCCACTCCACTGAGGGGGGTGGTATTTGCTTTCAAGCCATCACAGCATGTAAAAACTTAGGTCTCACCACTTAATCCTAAAATGCAAAATTTCATGAGCTGAAACAACTAATTATGCTTTTGACTTCTACTAGAAAAGGGTAGTTATAGGAAAACATCACCCTCCAAATTGGAGTGGCAGCTGGATGAGTGAATGCAGGGAACCACATTGCACCAGAGTAAACAACTACAGATAAAACCCTCTGCAGGATCCAGTGTCAGGACTGGAAAGTTTCAACTGGAATTAGAGTAGTTGAGGTTCTGTCTGACAGAGACGTCTGAGGTAAGATCCTCAAGAAACTCCATCACAAGTATCTAAGGTTTGCCTCCAGAAGCTCCAGGTTTTCACAGTGAATACTACAAAATATCCTTAAGTGCTTCTACCTGGGGAGGAAAAGTATGACCATTTTGGAATACATAACTTAATTTTTCTAAGTCTTATCTTTACAAGAAACTAAATTCCCAGAATCTACAAAAATATTTTCTTTTTATTTGATTTTCTTATTTCAAACTTAATCAGCTGGAGAAGAGGAATGGTCAACTTAAGGTATTCTCATCATCCTGCCCACATATGAAAAAAGATAGGTGTGTGTGGTAGTTCAAATGTAATTGGCCCCCATTAGCTCATCATAATCTTAATTCCATTCCCATCTGAGAGCAAATATTGCACAATTTTTAATCCCTTGTAGAACATGGTAATTCTT